AATGCTTTTAAACTATAGACTTTAGTAATATTAGTTACACTAACTGAGTCTGTGTGATTCTTTGTGTTGCTTGTGTTTTCATTCATTAATTCAACAAATATATTGCACGCAGGAAGTAAAATACTGAGCAGAACACACAAGACTCTAGGCCTCACAGTGCTTCACTTTACTGGAGAACAGAAGTAGTAATTGATAAGCACACAAATATGTAATTAAAACCTGCCATTAATGTGATAAAGCTCTTTTCTACCTTTCCGTTTTTAAGTATTTCCCTTATTTTTTCCACTTTCCCCCTTCTTTTTCTTTCTTGTCCTCCCATTTGTCTAAAATATAGAAATGATTTATACATTTGTTTGCTATATAATCAACCTAAATTATGGGTGTGTGTGTGTATTTGTGTGCACTTGTATACATATAGTGTATAGGTATATATGAAAGTACTTCAAAATGTTCATGGAATAATGGAATTAAAATATGATACAAATCCTTCCATGAACTTTCTGAAGTACCCTCACATATGTGTGTGTGTGTGTGTGTGTGTGTATTTTTTTAATTGTGGTAAAATATACATAACATAAAATTTACCATTTTGACCATTTTTAGGTGTATCGTTCAGTGGCATTGAGTATACTCATGTTGTTATACTGTCATCACCATCACCATCTCCAAAACCTTTTCATATTCTCAAATTGAAACTCTTTACCCATTTAAAAATGCCTCCTCATTCCCCACTTCTCCCAGCCCCTGTCTCTTTCTACTTTCTGTCTGTATGAATTTGCTTATTCTAGGTACCTAATATAAGTGGAATTACACAATATTTGTTCTGTGCCTGTCTTATTTCATTTATTATAATTTCTTCAAGGGACCCGAGGCTTGGAGCCAGGGACTGGACACCCCTCCCATAACTAGGTGTTGGGCCTTAAAAACTAACGCCACCTTAAGTGACATTACAAGTGGCGCCATTATGGGCCCACAAGGGCATATTAATGTGACAGCCTAAGACGGCGCCGGGAGGAAGTAGGGTGGGGGTGTCTGCGGGAACCTTGCCTTAGCCCTTATTGGCCAAATACGCGCTTCCGCGCTCGTGAACACTGTGTGGTTGCAATAGCTAGGCATTGAGACAGGATGTGTGCCCTTGACCTTTAAGCTGATAGGATTATGTAAAAAACCTCCCTTCCCCATTTGCCTTTTTTTTTTTTTCCCTTTTTGTCTTTTTTTTGTGACCGGCAACGGATCGCAACCCTCAGTGTCGTGCCCGTACCGGACCGGGACCGGCAACGGGATCGCAACCCTCGGTGTTGCGCCCGCACCTCGCTTAGCCAGTGAGCCGCCGGTCTGTATGTGGGATCCGAACCCTGAGCAGGAGTGCCGCTGCGCTCCCAAGCGGCGCACTGTAGCAGTGCACCACCGGGCCGGCCCCTCCCATTTGCCTTTAAAAGCAAGTGCTTGTGTGATAATAAACGGAACTGCTCAACAGAACCCCTGCCCCATCTGAGTGTCCTTTAAACCGGGCTGGTTGGGGCCGGCGGCTGTGCTCACCTCTCTTCATGGCTCTCTTTCCCCATCTCCTTCCAAAGGGGACAGGAGGGAAAGAGTAATCCGGGCCATTCGCTCACCCAGCAAAAGGAACAAGGCTAGGGCTGTTCAGGTCAGCCGGCGGCAGACCCGACAACTAGGCACACCATGCTAGTGCCTCAGGGCCCACCCAGGGACCCAAGGCATGGACCGGGGACCAGATCCCCCTCCCACAACCAGGCACACTGCACAAGCACTTTGGGGCCTGTTCAGGGACTCGAGGTGTGAAGCCGGGGACTAGACTCCCTTCCCACAACCAGGCACACTGCCTGAGCCAAGGAGCATGCCAAAAATATCACTTCCCTGTGGGTGGCCCACCACAGCCACCACAATAACCATGACTGCCACAAAAGCAGCTGGACGCCACACCACGATGCAAATGGTCCACCAGCCACTGGAGTGCATTGACAAAAGGAGAGTCACCAGAAGAGATAAAGAAAAGGATGTCTCTCTCCACAAAGCCTATTCCAGAGTGACAGAAGAAACATCTGCTCTGCGATAATATTGGGGGACCTGAACGCAACTCTCAGCATTGGACAGATCATCTAGGCAACAAATCAACAGAGTAACCATTACTCTTTCAAAAGGAGAGAAGAAATCTAGGGTAATTAGAGGGGAGAGGGAGAAGGAGAGGTAGAGGGGTATGGGGAGAGATTGGACAAAGGGCATAAAGAACAAGTATGATTTGTAACAATATATGTGATAGTAATATTGATTTGATCAACATATGTCAACGTTGAACCCCGAAAATATGTATAATCAATTTTGATTCAATAAAAATTAAAAAAAATTAAATTAAATAATTTCTTCAAGGTTTATCTATGTTAGCACTTGATCAACATATGTCAACGTTGAACCCCCAAAATATGTATAATCAATTTTGATTCAATAAAAATTAAAAAAAATTAAATTAAATAATTTCTTCAAGGTTTATCTATGTTAGCACGTGTCAGGATTTCTTTCCTTTTTAAACCTGAAGAATATTCCATTGTATATATTTTGTTTATTCATCTGTTGATGGATGTTTGGGTTGTTTCCACCTTTTGTCTATTATATTTTTTTATTTTATTTTGCTGTATAGTCAACAAGATTGTTGGTTAAGAAAGAAAATATTATGTACTTATAGGCAAATATTTCACTTGAGTAAATGGCAAGTATATTCTTGAGTTTTATTTTGTAATGCTTGAGATTAACTTTTGAAGTTTATCCCTAGTTTTCAAACATTTGAAACCATATACATAGGGTATTTATTTTTTGAGCCCATACATACAGTATTTTTAATTTATTTCCTTCCTTAATTTGTTTTCACACATTTGGGGCATTATATCTATATATATGGTATTTTAAAAATTGCTTAAAGAATTTCACAGGAAAATCTTAAGTGTTGTAATCATTTGATTTTTCTAAAAAAAAGATACCAAATATTTTACAATACTTTTTCTTTAGAGAAAATAATCTTATCAACAGTGTTGGTTGAACATCTGATCTGAATGCTAACGACTATATATAAATATCAAAATTTATTCTGAATGATGTAGGTAACTTATACTAAGTGTTTGCTTATTCTAAAAACTACATCAGCCTTTAGAATAGCTTGTTTTCAGTGTAGATTAGTTGCTTCTTAGGGTTCATAAGAAATGAATAGTCTCATATATTATCAAATGTAGGCATGTTGTAGGCAAAATTATCTTCAGATGTAAAAAGGCATTAAATTTGGTAATATTTTTTCCAATATTTGTAATTCTATCTAGGGGACATAAAAACCCTTGAGAGAAAAATTATAGTGTGAAATAGATTTCTAGGATATTTTTAAATGAAGTGAAATAAGATACATTAATAAGGATGTTCACTGCAGCATTTTTGTAATAGTGAAGAATTAGAAGCAATGTAAATGTCCATTAGTAGCTGATATAAATACACTGTGGTATATTATTATAATGCCCTTCCATATAGCATTTAACATGCATAAACTAGATTTATATTTATCAAGATGGAAATGCCTCTAAAGCAAAGTTGAGTTCAAAGAAGGAAGTTGAATAATAGTATACACAGTATAATACATTTTCTAAAAGTGTAAAGTTTTTAAATATCAAAACAATGCTGTATTTTTTGTGTATATGTACAAGGATATTTCAAAAAGTTTGTGGAAAGATTCGTATTATCTTTTCAATCTATTTTTCCATGAACTTTGAAGTAACCTCATATATGTGTATATACACACATTCATAAAAATATAGTTATAAATAACCACACACACACACTTAGTGTTAAAACATGGACCAGAAAGCTACACACCAAATTTAAGATACTGATTACTTCCAGAGAGGAAAGAAAGGTGGAATATTATTTATTTTCAGATCATTTTCTTTTTTCACAAAAATACAAGTGGATTAAATGTGGTGTGATATTAGTGTTTTTGTATCTAGTTGGTTGTGATATTAATGCTGGTTATATTATTCTTCATACTTTTTATGTTCGAAATATTCTAATTTTTTAAGTATGTGTTCAAAGATCTAATAACTTTACCTCTAGTTACAAACACTAAAGGTAATATTGTATATGAGCACATATACAAGGATGTTAACTATAGCATTGTTTATAATCATGAAAAATTGGAAATGAGCAAAAATAGCAAATGGTATAACTGTATAATTAAAAATCTCAAGAACTGTCATTTTTTTAAAAAAATCTATTTAAATTAATAGGTTATTTTACTTCACACAAAATCCAAAAGTCAATTCCAGATTGATAGCAGGTCTAAATGTGAAAGATTAAGCAATAAAACTTTCAGAGGAAAACATAAGAGAACATCTTTGTGACTTTGTAGTAGGCAAAGATATCTTAAACCAGACATTAAAAGCACTAAACAACTAAAAATTTGTAAGTTGAACTGTATTAAAATCAAGAACAACTGTTCATTGAAAGATACCGTTAAATGAATTGAAAGGCAACGTTCAGAGTGAGAAAAGATATTTTCAGTATGTATGTCCAGGAAAGGACTAGTATCCAGAATATATTCCAGAAGAATTCCTATAAATAAATAGGAGTCAACCCAATGGAAAAATGAGCAAAACATTTGAAAAGATATTTTTAAAAAGAGCACATCCAAATGGCCACTACACATAAAAATTTCATTAAAAGTGCTCAACTTGATTTGTCTTCTTTCCTAGCTTCTTTATTTGGAGGCTTACATCATTGTAGATTTTTATTCTTTTCTAATATAAGTATGTAACATTATAGATACCCATCTCAGTATTGCTTTAGTTGTACCTTACATTTGGAAATGTGTTTTAATTTTTTGTTAAATTCAGAATATTTTCTAATTCATCTTGGATTCTTCTTTGAAAGAAGTATTTAGAAGTGTTAAAGAAAAAAAATATTCAATGGTACTTGTTAAAATATGGTAGGAAGACTTTTTCAGGATCATGACAATAAGTACAGGGACCACTGCAATGGGATTTTGCAGTGGAGGAGAAAGATTGGGTTCATCTCCAATACAGCACAGGTAAGTGGGAATTTATAGCCACAGAGCAGAGTGGGGGTCAGTGGATGGAAAATTAAGAGGAAACATAAGGTGTAATGAAGATTCTGCCTAAGCCTACCTAATAGTATTCTTGATAAAGACAGGCCAGGTTGATCAGGCTTCACCTGACTTGGGGGGTGATGGAGGATGAGGAACCTGGTCAGATATCAAGGGTGATCAGATATCAGGAGGTGGGGGGTTCTTGCTAGATTGACTTAGCAGGGTTCTTCACTAAAACTGGATTTTACAGGGAAGTGCACAGATGGGGCTAGAAGGTTCAAGAGCCTGACTAAAGTTTAGTCAGGCAGAGAATCTTTGTCAGAAGTAGGTTCTTTAATTTCAAATATTTGGGGATTTTCCAGACATTCTTCTAGTATTGATTTTTAATTTAATTATGTTCTGGTCATAGAAGATGCTTTGCATGATTTAGGTTATTTTAGCTTTATTCAGAATTGTTTTATGGCCCAGCATGTGATCTTACCTTGGTGAATGTTCCATGGCACTTGAAAAGAATGTTTATCTTGCTGTTCTTGGCTGGAGTGTTTCATAAATTCAGTTAGGTCAAGTTTTTTTTTTTTTTTCCTTTTTGTCTTTTATTCGTGACTGGCAACGGATCGCAACCCTCAGTGTTGTGCCCGTACCGGACCGGGACCAGCAACGGGATCGCAACCCTTGGTGTTGCGCCCGCACCTCACTCAGCCAGTGAGCCGCCAGTCTGTATGTGGGATCCGAACCCTCGGCGGGAGCGCCGCTGCGCTCACAAGCGGCGCACTGTAGCAGTGCGCCACCGGGCCGGCCCCAAGTTTCGCCCGCACCTCACTCAGCCAGTGAGCCGCCAGTCTGTATGTGGGATCCGAACCCTCGGCGGGAGCGCCGCTGCGCTCACAAGCAGCGCACTGTAGCAGTGCGCCACCGGGCCAGCCCCAAGTTGTTTTTTTTTTAATAGTGTTTTTCAAATATTCTATATCCTTACTGATATACATCCAATTTTTCTATTAATTACTGAAAGAGTATATCACGGGAGCCCCAAATCTGAGAGGGCACTAGCATAGTGTTTGCCTGTTCCAAAGAACTTACCTGGCATTCCAAGAGGTTTAATTAAATAAATTTAATAAAACATTGGTTTATTAGACTTACAGGAGTTGCTGATGGTGACTGGCCAGCTAGATACCCGTGCAGCGACGAGGTACATTACAGTTATACAGTGAAGAGATCAAAGTAGGGGTATAAATCGTTTGCAGGCTTACGTGCAGACCCTCACCCAGCTCACATAAGTCAAAGCATGCGGGAGATCTGGCTGGGTAGATAATTTAATCTCCTCTCTACTCTCCTGGTGCCAGAGTGCTTCAGTGCCAGCATGCTAATTCATTTACTTAGGGTCCCTGCTTCCTCCAGTCTTCCGTTTGTCTTAAAGGGAACGTGCATTTCCTTGGATAACTACCTTGGCCAGGGGTAGTTTCCCAGGGGGCAGGGGGAACTCTGGTATACTTGGGGAGGGGGAATAGGGCTATGTCCAGCATTTACCCTACAAAGTGATATGTTAAAATCTCAGTTTAAATATTTTCGGGTTTTTTTGCAAACCTTGTTAGCACGAGTTGAAGGTCCTTTACCAGAGGCTTGTTTATCTCTACTCATTAGTAATGGCCCTTCTCGGTTCTCTATTGAACAACCCTGATGTTCAACAAAGATTCTCTTCTCTGGTTAGTCACAACTCAAATGCAATCCTGTGTGAGCTATGGGAGTAGTTCTGATTTATAGCGCCAGTTGTTCTTTGCCTGGACTCCGTGTTTCCAACAAAGATTCTCTTCTCTGGTTAGTCACAACTCAAATGCAATCCTGTGTGAGCTATGGGAATAGTTCTGATTTATAGCGCCAGTTGTTCTTTGCCTGGACTCCGTGTTTCTTTTTTTTTTAATTTTAATTTTTTATTTATACATATTTACGGGGTACAGCGTTGACTATCAGTATTTATGTACAGTATGTGATGATCAAATTAATAGTATTAACATGTTCATCACTACAAATCATAATTACTTTTTGTGTCCCTTATCCAGTTACTCCATATCCCATACCTCCCTTCCCCTTTCCCACCTCTAGTAACTATAGGTCTCTCCTTGTGTTTCTTATGTCTTTTTTAAAAATTTCCTTGTGTTTCCTACTATGCATATGTAACAAAATATTTAGCCACACTCAAAGGAATTGTTATGCAGATTTCTATAGCTCTTATTCATTATTTCTCCCTCTCTGAGTACTGTGCTTCACAAATTCCAGTCATTTAGCCTTCCCAAACTCTAGTCTCTTTGTCATCAACTCAGTGAGACTGCCATATTCTTCTTGGGACCACTCTGCCTGCATCATGGTCTGGAAAATGCCTCCATGCAGAAATCATTAGGAGCTCTCTTTGTTTATTTGCTTTCTGTCAGGGATAACAGTTTTGTGCTGCCTCTTATTGTCCAGTGAATATAGTCATTTCATATAATTTGTCCAATGAGAAATAGATTTTAAATTGTGGTCCTCATACCAAACAGTAACAGAAACAATATAATACGTGGGTAGTAAATTAGAGTCAGTAGATAGCCAGTGCTCATCCTGCTTGGGGGTGCCAGGGCACTGACTGTCAGCCCTTCTCCCAAACACCCATTGGGATGTGGTTTGTTGGTGCTTAGTTTGACTGAAGAACAAGGTGGTCTGTGATGTCTATAAGTATTTCTTATTAAAAGCAGGGACTGTGTGGGTTCTTTCTAAAAGGAATGAGCTGTAAGTATAAAATATCTCTAAAGAAGCAGGAAATAACATTTCTAACACCAGCAGCACTATATTCTGCTGGGTTAGTGATCTGAGAGCCAAGGAGGACTAAGTTGAGGTAAGTTACACCTGCTTTTTCTTTGTGGGGCCATCTTGCTTTGATATGTTCCTTGTTCTTAGCTAAACAAATCAGGAACTTAATCCAAAATTAATCTTGTGTGTTTGAGTGCATGTGTATGTGATCCTCCTATCAACCTGTAATTGACCTGGGAAGCTGCCAATATATGTTATAAGATCCCAATTTTTAAAATTCTTATGTATGTGTATTTATGTTTATATGAACAAAAAGTATAAGAATATACATCAAACTGTAAGCATCAGTTTCTTCAAGCAGTACACTGAGTGAGGGGAAATGGAAGCTACTTATTTTTTACGTTATATACCTTTTTATCATTTGAATTATAGGCATTTTATTTCTTATATTTGAGTAAATAAAAGGTTAGAACTAATATATTTTCACGGTAAACTATTTGATTATTATGTAATGAACATCTTTATCTCTAATGACGTTATTTCTCTTAAAACTATTTTATATTTTTATGATCCTTTTTAAAAGTGATCTTCTTGCCTTCAATTTGATTAACTACATTTTCTATGTCTTTTTTCTGACCTCTTCTGATTTGTAAATTTTATATTTATTTTCCATTCTTTAAGTGGTTATTCTTCAAATTATAATATACAATATTTTTTTGATAAAGTCTGAAGTTCATCAGTACCTCTATCGTCCTACAACAATACAAAGACCTTAAAATGCTTTAACTCTGGTCCCTTCCTTGATCTTATATCATTTTGTTGTCCAGAATTTTAGTTCTACCTTATTTTATCTCTGTTTTCATTTAGATGTTGTTATTGCTTTACATAATATTTTTTTAGTTCCATGTACACATTTGCCAGCTTTCATGATCACTCTATATTTTGTTTCATTGCTTTTGAGGTTTTTTCTTCCTAAAATAGATTCTTTAATAGTTCTTTCATCTAGGATCTGTGACTAGTAAACTTTAGCATGTGGAAGATACTACTTATTTTCCTTCTGGCTTTTCTTGCTGATATGAGAAGACTGCTGTTATTCCAAAGTTCTTTAGTTGTTAGTGAGTTTTTCTTCTCAATCTGGTTTGTTTATTTATTTATTTATTTATTTATTGGCAGCTTGCTGGTTCAGGGATCCAAACCTGTGACCTTAGGGTTATAAGGCTGGAATCTAACCAATTGAGCTAACCGGTTGATTAAAGACTGGTTGATTTAAAGACTGTCTCTTTCTTTGGTGTTCTTCAGTTTTGCTATGATATTTTAAGTGTGAATATAGTTTTATTTATTGCACTTATAATTTTTGATACTCTCCTAATCTGTGAATTCATATCTTTCATCAGTTCTGAAGTCCTCAGCTATTGTGTTTTGACTTTTGCTCCACCCTCCCCCTAGTTCTCTCAATTCTCTCCTTGTGTAATTTCTTTTGGATGCTTTCTGGACTTCTCATTCCAGCGAACTTTCTATACCTCTACTGTTTTCCTTCTCTTTCTGCTTGTGTTGTCTTTCATTTTACCGCTTTTTCTGCCTGTGATTTAACCCATCCATTGAATTTTTAAATTCACTTATTATGTTGTTATTAATTTTTATTGTTTTATTTAGCATTTCTCTCTATATTATTTGATTCTTTTTCTTATCTGCCTCCTTTTGTTTCATAAACCCATATTCTTTTTTATATGTTTATTGACTCTTTTTTAACATTTCAAAAACTAATTATAAAAATTATTTTCAATTGTTCTATTATCTCTATTTTTTGTTGTGCATTCTCCTATTTTGGGCAAGATGATATGTAGACTGCCATTCATTTGTATTATTTATGTATTTGTTCTTATTTCCAAGCTTGACTTCTTTGAGAATTATTTTCTATGGTGGTTTTTCTCTCATCCATTTTCTTAGTTGTGGAAACCTCCCTTTAGGATATGATTGTGTCTGCCTAAACCCTCCTGTATACACTGGCCATATATTAGTTTTTATATTACTGTCAATTCTTCAGGTTTCTTCAAATATACATGGCTTAATTTTGAACAAGTAATATAGGCTTAGGATTCTGATCTCATATGGTTGACTCTGTCCTGCCCCAAGACTGGGACAGGACAGTTCTTTTTAATGGAACCTCAACCAGATAAGCTCAGATATTCAGGTTTTCATTCATCCAATTTTTGTCTCTTAGCTTCCTGTAGTTAGTTCACTTTTGTCTCTCAGCCATATAGGGCCTTGGATCTAAATGTCCTTCCCCACTCAGGTCTCACAGCCTGTGTCCCCATGGGCAATATTTTGATCCAGGTCAGGTACTCACTATAGTAGCTCAAATCCATTTTACTGGTAAATGTTCTTCACCTTTATTTGGTATCTAGAGATTTAGTATCCTTGCTTTCAGTGGTATTAATATTTTAAAATTACTATTTTACCTAGCATATCTGTGTGTTAGAAAGTGGTTGAGCAACCCAACATACGATTTTTAAAATTATGTAGTCTATATTTTAAGTGTTTAGTATGTTTATTGAGATAAAGTTAACAGAAATCACTAACTTTAAACATTTTATCTTCCAGATCCTCATTAAAATTCAATTATAATTTTTAGGATTTTTAAATATTATTAATTTATTTCTGCTTTTATTATACTATTCTGTATTTTATACTTTTAAATATCTTTACTGCCTTTATTTCTTTGCTGCGTTGTTCCTTAACTTACACATTTAAGTAATTTTTTATTGCTTTAATTTTTATAGGATGAATCTTCAAGAAGAATTGGACAAGCTTAAAGTACATTTATCTATTGATAAGGCAACAATACAAGAATTGAATAGATGTATGGCAGAGAAAAGAGAAGGTAATTTTTTGTGTGTGAACTTACCCAATTCTTGATGTTTTAGTTTTGATTTCTATGAATCTTACCCCTTTTCTCCCTCTTTTTCTACCACTTTACTCATTGATAAGTCATCAACATTTTTACCTCTTAATGAGAAAATCAAATAAAGCACCTAAAAGTCAGCTTTATAATTTATTAAAAATTCTAAAGAGATGTTTGGTGAGGAGGAGAGATATTATTATCTGATGAAGCTTTTCTAGTTCTGTTTGTTCATAGTTTTATAGATACTATAGATCTATACTCAATATCAATAATGCATTTATATTTTCATTTGATATTACAGTTTTTTAAAGAAATCATTTAGTTCTCATCTGTTTTCCTGGAATCAATTCCTTAAGAGTTAGAAAGGAAACTTGGAAATCTTTAAATCTGCAACCTCCCTGACCACTAAAAATTTTAGAAATAGGGAATATATCACTGCTCCAATTGTAAGAAGATTCTTTAAAATCAAGATCACTATATTTACTATATAAGTTCAGTACCTCATTAGACAAAGTAAATAATGTTTTTATGACAGGATTTCTTCTTATTTAACCTGCTAAATTAGCACATTTAGCCTAATTATTACCATTGTACTTTTAGGTGTTAACAATAACAATTTAGGTTAACAAATTAGATTAAAATTCTTGCTGTTTCAGTTGCTCTTACTTAGGTCACTGGTGACTTGTCAAGGTAAATTTTTGAACCCCTCTATTTTACATCTTTAATTTTCATCGTATTTCAAGATGACTCCTTTATCAGCTTCTGAAACACTCGTTTTCCCATTTTACCTCCTTCTCTTGCCTATAACTTCTCTGTTTTTTGACTGGAACTTCTTTTCATTTGCCCTTTCATTATTGAGGTTCTTTTTTTTTTTTTTTTTTTTTTTTTTTTTTTTTTTTTTTTTTTTT